ATGGTTTCTTCCCTGTTGTCTCTTCTTTTCCTCTGAACTGCTCTGCAAGGTCACCTGTGTCTCTGAAAATTTAGCTTTTTCCTTTCCTGCTTTAACCTTAAAAGGCAGATAGATTATTCAGTCCTGCCATGAAATGAGATTTGGCTCCTATATAGTGGTGTTTTCCATAATAACTGCTGGTGTCATCAAGGCAAAGAGAGCTGTTTTTCCTAACTACCCATGAAAGAATTTAGTGTTTTTACATTTCTGCCTCCCCAAGAAAGTCTCCTCTCTCCACCTTGAGTATGACTGACTTCAAGGTATTGAAATCTGTACTCTAACTGAGAATTCATTGAACAAGTGTTCAGTGAATGAACTTTTTTAGCCAATTTATATAAAATGAAAAGAGATCTCCTATTTCAGTCTCTGATACAATTGCTTCTGAAGAGCAGTTCAGAATTTATAGATAGATCATTGAGCAATCTGGCTTTTCATCTAAGGCATACTTAACAAAAGTATATGTTTTGCACTTATTTTTGAGAGTCCCTACTCAAAGTGGAAATCTTGAGATCTTTCAGAAATATTTAATCAGCTTTCTAACCGAAGAGGTTTTAATGCTAATAACATCTAAATTCTGAGCTGCTTAAATTTACTTTTTAAATTTTTTTTTCACTTTTCTCTTGCTTTGCAGTAAAGGAGACCAACCAGATCAGTGCGATTTCCCTGAAAGTCATTTTTATGACTTCATTTGTACCGGTGAGAATGAAGCATTAATCTGTTCAGGCTTGCTTAGTAATGGCGTTAGCCACCTTCGTCATTTCTTTGGTTTCATCCTCCTGTTGTCTTCTTATGTAGTACTCCAGTAGGTTTCCAAATAATTGGTGAAGAAACAAAACCAGTTTTGTAGCCACTTAGAGCTACATGGAGTGCTTACACAGACCTTTTGAGAGAGGCAAATTAGAAATCTAAAGTAGTCCAGGCTATCTGGAAATCTGATAATACTGCAAAGAGATGGCCTCTCCAAAACTTGTGAAATACTTATGCTCTTTATTTTTATTTTCCTCACTATGGCACAGTCCTATGTCCCTCACCTTGTAAATTATATACTTTCTCTACCAGAAGCTTCTCTACCAAAAGCTGCATCTAATGAATTTACTTTCTTGTCCTTCTCATACTTAGTTTAGAGGGAACATTTGGATGGTTCATTTTTATTTGGGTGGTTTAGTTTTCCAGTGTAGATTGGCTTGATTTTAATTCAAACTATATTACTAGAAATTAGAGAAAGAGACAAATAAGAAGCTCTGTGAATGTTTTTATAAAAATGAAAAATAAGCATAAGTGAGCCCAGTTTGGGCTTTGTTCACACAGAGCCATCAGTACTTGTCTGGGGCTGGGATGTAGCTTGGTGGTACAGCGCTTGCCTAGCATGCGTGAGGCCCTGGGTTCGATCCCAGCACCAAAAACGAAAAGACAAAAAAAAAAAAACCTCTCCCCTCTAAAGTACTTGTCTGCCAGGCACTGTGTTAGAACCTAAAGGGACAAAGGCACAGAAGAAACTCTGCTGACTCAAAGGGCTCACACTTAATGTTTTTAAAGACAAAATTGCAAGTCCATGTGCTAAGTTGTAGGTTAAAGTTATATATGGTACACATAGTCAAATTGAGAAAAGAGAAAAAGAAGTCTTCCCAGTAGTGAGGGCAGCCAAGGATGACTGCCGATGGAGGTGATACTAAAGCCAACTCCTAAAGGACAGTGCCAAGTAAAGTACAGGAAAGGCAGACATTTTAGGATCAAGTTGCAGTGCAGGAGAGGGGGCAAACCAGGTCCAGAGAGGAAGATGTAGTTCCCTTAGACCCTCCATTGTGGGATGAACAATGCACTTGGTGATGGAAGCAGAGGCTGTATTGGGGCCACATGCTCTGCTGAGGAAGGAGTTTGTGCTCCATCCTAAATGCTCTGTGGGGCTCTACAAGAGTTCTTCTAGGCCAAAGTGCATTAAACACATTGGATTTACCTCAGCTTCTCCAATGTTGGCTTCTTTCCTACCTGAGGACTTTTGCACAAGCCCGTCCCTCTGCCTAAAAACTCTGTGTGTTTTGGTTCCTGGCTATATTCTCAATATCAGATACCAACTCTTAAGAGAACTCTTCCCCAGGCACCCTAATGTTTTTCCTATTTGTTTCCTTTGTACCACTTATACTTTTTAAAATAATTTGTTTTAAATGTTTTAGCTGTCTCTATTTCTAAATTGTAAACACCTTAATGGTGGGGATTGTATATCTAGCATGATGCCTGGCACACATAGGTGCTCAGTAAATATTTCTTAAATAAGCAAATGAATCTTCAAATCTGCAACTCAGATCTAAAGACTGGAGAGTGGATTGGCAAGGAAGCCAAGACTGATGGTACAGCAAATAGTTCAGAGGCTTTGCCATGATGCTGGGAAAGTAGGACATGGGAGATCTATATACGATCATGGGGGAGATCGAGATGTGTGGAGCGAAGTTAATAGTAAGGAGTGGAATCAGTGGAGACTTGCTGGATTGGGTGATTGTAGGGGTCAGGGATAGCACAAAACAAAGAAAGCTGGAATTCAAAAGAGCACAAACAGGTTTCCTTGGGAGAAAAAAATGAGCTTTGCTTTGGACATGTTGGGTTCTGAGGCAACCTGAGAGCTGCCTTCATAGAACATCCAACAGATGTTTAGATTTATGGGTTTGGAACCCGGGAGAAAGATCTTGGCAAAAGACAAAGATTTGAGGGTCATTGTCCTTCAGATTCATTCATCTGCTCATTCAACAAATATTCACTATTGTGTCTTAGACATTATGGACCCAGTGGTGAACAAATAAAACACTAAATACAATTTTCACAAATATCATAGTCTAGACTGGTAGCTGATGTCATAGAAGCAGATAAAATAATTAAGGAATTACACACGTGTGTATACACACACACACATACACACACACACACACACACACACATGAGCATAGACCTTGGAGAACACCAACTTTTAGGAGGTGGACAAAAGAAATAAGACAACCAGAAAAGGGTGACAGCTTGTGAGTGAATGAATACAAGGGTCCTCCCCTGACCCCTTCCCCCAAGATCTGGCATCAAACTCAATTTATTCTTTAAAATATATTACTTGTTGGCTAGATTAAAGCACCTGTGTTTATATTCACTCAACTCAGAAATTCTTGTTAGTTCTTCCTTAAAATAAGGGATTTCAAAGATTGGAATTGAAACAAGTATTGGCCCGTAACTCAAGTGACAGAGAGATGAGCAAGAGCTGGAGACCAGACTAGATCTTCCTTTTCAACTATGAGTTTCCTTGTTCTACGTGTGTTAAGTTGACTTTAGTGTGTATTGTGGCTGGATTTCCTTTGTTTTGATCTGTGGGATAAATGTAATCTTAATAGTGTCCCAATACGAAAGAGATGTTATGGTTTGTTTTGCCAAGACATCTTTTAGGGCATTTTTATTTTTATTTTTAATTTTTTTTAACTCCTCAGTTCTCTTAATCCAAGAGACAGCACCCCAGGCATTTACCAAATAAAAGCCAACTAAGTACCTGGGTGTGAGTTGTTTTGACAGGTGAATTTTCTTAAGACTTTTAGGGTGAATTTTTTGTCATTTTGTTTTATAAAGCTCTTTATAATTATTTTATATTCTGAAAATTGGAACTGTTTTGCCTAGAATACTACAAATTGTGTGTTTTACACAAAAGTTAACTGCAAATTTTCATTTAAGTCTTAGTAAAACTCCTTATACAAAATCCACTGTAACCAAAAGAGGAACTCATAGGTCCACTTATATAATCCTCTAAAATATGTAATTTTTGCGTATGCTTATGTGCATGACATTTAAGAAATTTATTGGTGCATGTACTGTGTGACAGATAAACTTACTTCCCCTTAGTACTGTATAAAATCTAACTTTTATCAAAAGTGTACAATATATATAAAACATGAAACTACAGCAATATGGATTGTTACATATTCAGTTTGGTCCACTTATGTTGCATTTCTTAAAGGTATGTTTCTTATTGCAAAGAATAGTTATTTTAAAAACCTCTTCAGCTAACAACTGCTTCTCTGAGCCATGTTTTAAAGCAGTAAAGAATAAGCTGGCTTCCCAGACTTTACAGGCAGATTGCTCAAGCAGATCCACTCCATGAGACTTACAGAATCAGAGAATTGTAGAGGGCACAGAGGAAAACTCTTTGTCATAGTTTACAAATTTCTTGTCATTTGTAAACTTTATGTTTCTGAATACACCATAAAACTACATGAGTAATTGGTAGTAGATATAATATTCAGTATCTTAAAGGAAGTTAAGTATATTTAGTAAAAAAATGAAGAAGATATAAAATTCAATGATTAAACAGTTTTTAACCATTGATTTTAAAAAAAAAATCAGCCAACACCAAAAACTCTTGTTCTTTAAACAAGTTTAAAATTTTATTTGTGCACAAAATAATTTGTTTTCATGTTTCATGAAGTGAGTTTCTTTTCCTAGACTGGGTTTTTAAAAAAATTCTTCCTGTAGTGCCTCCAGAAATGAAGGGACATGTTTAAATCCTGTGTGATACAAATGAGTGGATAACTAATACCAATCTGATGTTCTTTTAAGAAATAGTGTTTTAAAACTATGACAGAATTTAGCTGTCGTGGCTGATTTTTAGGTATGCCATGTCTACCCCATTGTTAAGCTCTCAGAGGTCACTCAAGGTAACCATTTCTTTTAAATTGTCTTTTGTTTTGGATTTCCTGTTGAATTTTTAAACATCTCAAAAATCACCCAGTTGTGTCATAGCTTTCCACAACCCCTAGATTCAAACCGAAAGCTGTCTCCATAACCAAATGACTGTGCCCTCCCACGGAAACTCAAACAAAGCCGACTGTGAGATTTAGCCATCACATTTTTTTAATCATAACGAAACGAATATTTAGAACTCTGTTGTCGAACGTCTTCTATTTATGACACTTGGTTTTCTTTTGTTTTTGTTTCCACAGGACATTTGGGCTTCCAGGACAGTTTTGTCACATCAGGTGTTTTCAGTGTGACTGAGCTAGTAAGAGTGTCACAGAGTAAGTATAATTTTGCTCTGATTTGGTTCAGATTTGCTTTGGGTTTTTATTTACTCTATCTAGGCCTTCTAGAGACACCAAAGCCTTTCAGAATCCCCTTTTTATTTCTGTTCTTCTTTATCAGAAGAATTTTGCCAAAGAGTTTGTTTAAAAGCCAAGATTTTAAATCAGAAAAAATTAAATATTTTAATCTGAGGCCTGAGGTGAAGGGTCGAATTCTGAGTGTCTCACAAACACCCTAATATATAATGTGAACTTAGTTTTTAAAAATTCTTAGTCTTCCCTGATTTCTAAGAAATTCTGCATTTTAAAAAAGAATTTGTTTCTGACCTTTAAACAATGCTAATTCCTTCACTGTGAGTGACACAATACAGCATGGTCATTACCAGCTTGTCAATAAGGACTAACAACAGTGAGTGAGCAGTACCTGCCACCATCCCGTTCCTTTGATCAAAGGCCCATTGATTATATTTTTTGCTATGGCATAAACCATATAGTCCAATGAGAAGTATGGAGTCTCATTCTCTCTCTTTCTTTCTTTCTCTCTTTCTGTCCTCTCTCCCTCTCCCCTCTCTCTCTCTTTCCAGTTGCCTTCCCTTAAGAACATCTCTGTTTTTTATTTAAAAGCATGCCTACAATGACTGTGATGTTCTAGCTCTCAGTTAGGAAAAGGAAAGCTACATACCAAATATTAAAACTTTATTTTTTATCCCTCACCTACTTCACAATGCCACATATAGGTAAAATTTACTTAGTTAAACATGGCTTTCTTCAAACTACTTGAAATGGAGTAAAAAGTACATATTTTCATTTCTGGTTCATACCCCCCCCCACACACACACATACTTACTGTGTTACAGATTCTCAAGATTGACCAGGTAAGCCAGTCAGTCTCATGACAAGATACCAGGGTAGGCAGGCAGGTCAAGCCACCCTGATCTTCCAACCCCAGAGTGTCTGTTGTTATTTCAGTCATTCACAAGCTGGAAAAGTCTAGAAAGAAGGATACAATGTGGGGGAGGGGAGGAATCTGGGAACTCTTGCACATTTACTACCTGCTAGGCACTGCACTACCTGCTAGGCACTGTGCTAGCTCTTTGAGGATGCTTCATAAATTAATCCTTGCATTAAACTTGTCAGATACAAAATTAACCCCTTGTTTATAGATGGGTTAAATAGAGGATCTATTGAAGTTATTTACTTGAAGTCAAACAGTGGGTCAGTGGTTCTTGGTAATATAAGAATCCTACTCTTAGGTTGGCTTAAGGGAACTTGAAAAAAGATCTATGTGAGTCTAGGCAGTTGTCTATGGGAAGACAACTATGGGCATCAGAATTCTGGGGGTCTTGGACTCTCTGGTTGATGCTGAGGTGCTCCTGTGTAGCAAGATAGAATCCCAAGGTACTAGTCATTAGAAGCAGCAGGTGATGGCTTGGAGTGGAGAAGCTGCTGTGGTCTGAAGCATGCCAAAAGTACCACCCAGTTGAGAGGAGACTGGATTGCTTGCTTAACCTAGAGGACATATGCTGCCCTGGTTATTATACAACTGATGAGCCAGTTGTTGCCATAGAGAAATAACAATGCATATGTATATACTTTTTTACTTTGTAAAACATTTAAATGTGATCAATATTCCACATTTTTCTTATAATTGCACTGTTACTAGTAGTATAAAGCATACATATTAGAGTATACCTGTCATAGTAGCCTAACAGGGAGATACATTTATTGAGCCCTTACTGAGATCCAAATTTAGCTTTAAAGATTGAAACAAAAATCCTTTTAACTCTAGGATTGGAGCAGTAGACCATTTTATTCTTCCCTGGCTGCTGTAATGCTTACATTTAGTCTTCATTACCATCAGTACTCCATGGCCTGGGGATTGTAAGAAAAGGCCCACATAGCTCAGAACTATCCCTACATCACTGCATCCTTCTTCCACTTCCTGTACTCTCCTTTCATCCCCCTTCTCCATAGTATCTAAGGCGGCATGGTTGCCGAGTGAATTCTAAACCTGTCTTCAAGACTGCCAGAGGGGATGGCCGCACTGGGATTGAATGTGCCAAGGGACCTGGATTTGTTTCCTGTCCCTGTTTAAGGGGTTGTGTAGCCAATGCCTGGCATCCTGCACATCCTTCAGCTCCTGAATGCTTTTTGATTCTGCACACTGCTGTGTAATCGCTCCAGGACTCACTCACACATGGCCTTGTGCTGACTGAAACTGTTTGGCAAGAGTGGGACTGGGCTGTGTCAGCTAAAACATGGCTTCAGGCCAAACTGGTCAGCTGTATTCCAGAGACCCTCTCTTCCTTATAGATCTTTAATCTAGGTTTGTCAGGGTATATTTTACAAATTGCCTTAGTGCTGGTATGGAGATCCCTAAGCTCAGGTTTCCTCGCTTGCACACCTTTCTGGAAAGCTTACCACTTAAACCACATAAGGGAGTCGAAGCACTTAACCATTCTCACAGCACTACTGTCTTCCTCCTTTGAGCCCATGTTGGAGGAGCTGAGCCTCCATTTTAGTGCTGTATGGGATGCTTTTTGCAGGTGAGTAGGGCTGGCGTGCACCCTGCATGCTTGAAAAAGAAATAAGGTAACAGCTATGTAAGTTGATTAAATCCATGATGCTAGCCCTGTTAGGAGCATAATACAATGTTAGTATGAAAACTTAGGGTAGCTAGAATTTATCAAGCACACATTATATGTCAGGCATTGTGCTAGGTATGTGGTAGACACTGTCTCATTTAGTTCTCCCATGGTTGGGGTCAAGTGTCCTTTTTTACAGAGGAAAGAAATCATAATACTCAAAACACTAAACATCTTGCCCTTTTTACTTGACTATGTTCAGCTGGCTTAAGACAAACATTTTTGTGATAGTCTCTACTGTAACTGTATCATATAGCTAAGTAGAATCCAACCACTTGGGCTTTTATTGAGTCATCTGTTCTTACTGAGTCGATAAACTTCTAGCTTATTATCTTGTACATTAAAAAAAAAGATTAAAACTATTTTCATATAAACCAGACCAAAGTAAAGATACTTTGTTTTTTTCCTGGATTTGTTTTCAGGTCTGATTTTGTCTTTTACTAATAGACTTTATGGTACTTTTTTTCCCAGTGCTGGGGATCAAACCCAGAACCTTGCACATTCTGAGCAAATGCTCTGCCACAGAGCTACACTTCCAGCCCCAACTTTATATTTTTTAGAGCAGTCTTTGAGTTTTATCATTGTAGGTTAACAGGAAGTACAGAAACAATTTCCTCAATTATTAACAACTTTTGTTGGTATCACACAGTTCTTAAAATTGATGAGCCAGTATTGGCACGTAACTGTTAACTGGAGTCCATAGATCGAGTTGGGTTCACTCTTGTACTTCCTGCTCCTGCCGTGCATTGCATTGGTTCTGACAGTGTGCAACAACACATACCTACATATCACACAGAATAGTTTCTCTACCCAGAAAGTACTGTGGTCCACCTATTCAAATCAGCTCCCCCATCCCTATCTTTTTACCCTCTCCGTGGTTTTGCCTTATACCTGGATGTTTTTAATGGCCTCCATATCTTAGAATTTCTTCCACTGAGCTGCAAATTTCTTCATAATCTCCTCCTCCTAAGTGTTCCAGCCCCATTTATTCTGCCACCTCACCCCAATCACAGCTAATTATGACCACATATATATACCTGGAAATTTCACAGTAATCAATAATGATGGCTTTTACTTTGAAAAATAACTCTCTTTCTACTTAGAATATTTAGGATTCAATTTTTAAATGTGATAATATGAATATTTGCTTTCACCAGGTTTCCAGTTAGTTTCTCCCTTTAGTTTTCCTTCTTTTAACTGTACTAGAGGGAGGAGGTGTCTTTTTAGCAGTTCCTCATTAGGATTTGCTGAAATAACTATGTGCTAAGTTTGTTGTTTATGATAGTGTTACTACCAAGGTGGCAATGACACAGAACCTCAAGCCAGACTGTTGGGTCAGGCAGCCAGGCTGCTTGACCTTAAATCCTAGGGATCAGCAGCATGGAGCTGTTATACTCAGGACTCCTGCTGACCGGCTGAAGCTTCAGGCGCCCATGAACTCCCCTGGCACTCTTGCCTCCTGTCCTCTAATTTTTGACATCATTTAAAGTCTGTGAAAGGCAAGAAAGGAAAGTTCAGTTTCTATAGCATAGCATAAAAATGCATCTGTACTTGTTCTATTGCTGCCTTTCCCCCATGTGGTAGGACCATCTGAAAGTAGTTCTAGTTATTTATTACCTTGTTCTGTAGCAGGGGAAAGTACAGACCACTGGACACGGTGCCAGAGAAAAAGAGAGCGGTATTCCGTGCTCTGGGGGAGCGGTTCACATGTGCTAGCAGTGTGCATCAGAATCACTGAAGTTGTTTTAGCCTAATACCATGAGGAAGAAAACAGGAGCCATCTGTTGAGATGGCTTTTACACGATGCTACCTTCTCAAACAAAGCCTACCAGAGGGATTTTCAGATTGGTCTCTTTCCCTTAAATTGCTACAGAGAGCGCACTCTGCTAGCTGCTAAATGACACTGCTTTGAGGGCTCGCTGTCAGCACCCGCTCTTTTGTTTATTTTGCCCTAGTATTTCCTCAAAATATGTGCCCCAAGGCTGTCAAATGTCCCTTCTGGTATGAACCCGGGAAGTTCTCCCCCAAAATCCACTACTTCTGCCCATTTCCTTCTAAAGTGCTGACTCTACTTTACTTGAACTCGGTGGAGTGACTCTGAAACCATAAATACTTCACTGGGAAAGAGGGAAACCGCAAATACACACAGGCCATTGTGACTCTGGCCTGGTGAGTTCTAATTTTCTAGCAGTGGTTTGTGCACCCAAGGCGGCTGCAAGGGTTAAGTAAACTTCGTGGCTAAGGATGACTTCACAACCCTGGAATTTTGAAAAGCCAGGATTCTCAGTACACTGTGGCCAGCCTTAGCGTCTTTGGGTGTGAAAACCACTCTCAGTTACCCAGACTGAGTTT